GTATCTCCTTGTTCTGGTTTTAAGATAGTTTTGCTAATCCTGTTGGCGCAAACATTGAAGCCAAGAAGCTGGGCAAGTGAATCCACGATGATCTGGGTGCTGCTGTAGCTGACTTCCTGTAGTACGAAGCTAGGTGGTTTCAAATCAGCTGGGGTGTCAAAATGCTGCAGCGCAGTCATTTCTGTGCCTGAAGCAGACATGCCCAGAGAGCCTGAATTAGTAACAACTTGGCTGATTTTATTCCAGCTGCACCAGCGGTTTGTTTATGTGGAGAGTCAAACAGCAAACACCCACAGAGCTGTTAACTCTGCAAATCTTCACTAAGTATTTTCTGAACTACTGCTGACAAATTTCTGAGGAGGCCTTAATCTCTGCGCAATCTATTGGGTGTTGTCAAAGCAGCATTAGTCAGCTGTCATCAGGCAGGCGTTGCGGGTGTGACTCAGGGGTTTGCATTCCTGTACTCACTGCAGAAAAGCCACGTTGGGAAAACCTCCCACACAGCCTGAGCCCCTGCTGAGGTGGGGACCCTGCGTGGGACGTGAAGCTGAGGTCTGTGCCTGGAGAGGTTTCTCCTCCACAGTTTACACCTGGAAACAAGTGAGAATCACCTCTCTTCTCATTCTTGGGACAGCAGCAAATGCTATTGCTTTTCTGCCACTGCTCAGTAGAACGCGAAGGGTGATGCTGTGAAGAGAAATGGCCGCTGCACAGTTAAGGCGTGCAATTAGTAGTAAGTAAAACAATGAATAAAGTCAGGTCCTAAATTAGAGCTGCTGTGTTTAATACTGGAGCTGTTCCAGTTATCAGGTGCCTGGTACATCTTGCTATTCAGGGTAAGGCCGCGATCCCTTCCTTGGAAGGGGAGAGGGCAGGGAGGAGCGCAGGCTGCGCACCACAGCCTGCCCATGTGCGGGGACAGCGCCTGCACTTTGCTGCTCCTTGGCATCACTTCTCTTCTCAAACTCAGTGAGAACCCATGTTATTTTCTGAAGCCAAATTCTTTATCTCTGACCCTCCTCTGATGCCAGTCAGGACTAGAAGATTTCTTGCTGTCAGTGGTAACGGTAGTAAAAAAAATTACCACATCTTTTGAAAAAGAAAAGAAAAGAAAACAAAAAATCACCTCTCCTGCCAACATAAAAAGCAAGGACACCAGGCAACAGTTCAAACAGAGCCCCTGCATACAAACAAACAAAGATGCCTGTCAGGGCTAAGGGGAAAAAAAAAGGGCACAGCTGTAGCACCACATTAATTAAATTGTATGAGCCTTTTTATTTTCAAGGATGCAGACAGATGCCACCTGAAACACGGGATGCTTGGAAGTGACACACACACAATTAAGCCACACACGTTCTTTGAGCTCCCTTTCTGAATCTCCAGAGCACAGATTGAATTAACACTACAAATGCCAAGTGAAAGTGTTCTCACAACAGCTTAAACTTGTACAGGGATACAAGGGATAGATGGGTGAAATTTAGTTTTTGAATGAGCAAATTAGTATCTCACCAAAATTACTTCTATGTTTGAGGCTGTGAAGTTAAAGCCAGGCAATTAAACTTGAAGTTGCAGGCTAGGCAGTAAAGGAAGGTGATTGTGGTTATTATTTTTGATGTCGAATTTTTTTGAGCCTAATTCTCATGCAGCTATTTGTAAATATCCATGCCCAGAATAAGCTGTGCAAGGCGGCTGCCAGCGAGAGCAGCAGCTGTGCCCAGAACCCAGCAGGTACGCCTTCTGGGAAGGGAGGCTGTGTCTCTGAAATAAACACAGTCTTGTGCTCTTATCAAACTGGTGCTCTTTGAAAAATGTCTCTAAATATGACCTGTTTTTTAAATAAATGCTAGTTAGTTGATTCATTAACAGGCAAGGAGGCATAGTGCAGATAGGATGTGCTTTGTACATCTGGCACAGTTTCCAGTGCCTGAGAGAAAGGCTGTATTTTGTCTTTGGGGATAGAGCAGTTGTGTAGAATAGCCATTTTTACAGTTCAAAAGATAATTGAATTCCCTGATCCACAAGCTCTCATTTTTATCTTCTCTGTCTTCTAGCATATTCTCGCCCAATCTTCATTCCCCCCCAGCTGCCATGTTAAAGTGTTCTCATGGGAATGCAGTTGGGGTACTGGGGAGCAAAATTGGGCTCACCAAACTGAAACATTGCTGTAGTCATAGGGCATAAAATATGATTAGATAATCTGATAGGCCAGTCGCTTTGTACTTCGTTCTTAAGTTGAATCCAAGAGCCAAGTGGGTTAAATACTCAGTCTGATGCAGAGGTCATGAGATGAGAGTTTGCATGGACAGGGAGTCGTAGATCTCTACGTCAGCGGTTGGCACTGAGGATGAACTCTTGTGTTTCAGTCAGGAAGCTGCAGGAAGCAGTCTGTGTGCTGTGGCAGATGTGGCCCCACGACAGCACTGCAGTCCTGCTGTCACAGCCCCGCACAATGGGATGATGTGAGTTGGGCAGAGCTGAAGGATGAATGCGCTGCTCCACTCATCAGAGGGCAGCATCAGCAGAAGCAGGTCTTTCGTTCCTGGCAAGGAGGGTAGGGCTGATTAAAGTAGAAAAAGAAAGTGTTATCCATGCAAAGTCTGAAAGAATGTATTCACTCATTTCAGATTAGCTGCCGCTCTTAGTAGTCAGGTCTAATCTGTCTGTGCAAGAGAGCAATTTCTTCATCATCAACAAAATGTACATCATGATAAGTCAGTGGCTTAAAATTTTAATGCAGTACCTCAGAGTGGAAAACAGTTTCCATATAAACAGTAGATAATTAAAGAGAGGATTTTTCTTACAAAAAAAGCGGGAAATCTGACTTAAGTGTGAAGATATGAATCATAATCTGCAAAAACCTGGAGGCATTAATCTCTTGAGAAAATATTTACATAAGCATATTATAAGTTTGTTTCAGGATTTGTTACACATTGGGTGGGGAGTATATTATGCAGACAGTAATGAAAGAAAAATTAAGATTTGTAAACGTGTTCTGTATTATAACTGTGCAATGTATTGCTAGAGTTCAGGTAAATTTGTGGTATCAAAGGGAACTTGTGTGGGAAATGATACCTTCCCCTTGTACAAATGGACAGACATTCATAAATGCTGGCTGACAGTTCTCTGTCACAGCGTGTGGTGACGTCCTCTGCTTCTTCCCACACTTCACTCAGGAGGCAGTGCAAAGCCCCTCTGCCTGCTGACGGTGCCACTTCAGGTTTGCCCCTCAAAGCACGGCCAACTTGCCACTGCTCTGCAGAGAAGGCTGAAAATGAGAAGTGCTAAGAGAATAAATTGTGGGTAATGTGAAGTCATTTTTTATTTAGATGTGTCTACAATAACATTTGTAACACTGTGAGGGTAACAGCTGCAGTAATACTGCATTCATGTCTGACAACCAGTTTTGTAAAATACTTACTTCAAATAAACAAAGATGTCTGCACTAATTGGTAACAAGAAAAAAAAAGAAAGCAGAGGATAGTGGCTTGTGCCTCACACCTGGCCCTTAGCTATTACTGACCCGTGCTGACATCACATAGCACAGTTTCAGTGTAGGCAGCATAAGAGAGCACAGCTTAGAAAAACAAAGACAGAGGCTCAGGACATACGGTGCTGTGCAAAGGGCACAAAGAGAAATGTAAACAATGTCTTCATGGCTATGGGTCAGCAAAGCCAATATATGAACAGACTGAAAATCATCCAGAAGTCTTCTTTCACTGAAGCAAAACAATATGTTGCAATACCCCAAAACTGATTCTTTCAAGCCGCCAGAGACACTAGAGAAACATTACTGAGATGATCAAGTTGGCCACTGATCCCTAGGAAAACAAAACAAAACAAAATGGCCTCATCAAACCCCCACTTAAAAGAAGTCTTCTGCACAGTTTTGCTAGTGCTGTTGTCATACGTGCTTTATGAGGGAAGATTGTGGCAGTAACTTACAGACACAGAGAGCAGACTGACTTAAATGGAATAATTTAAGGAACAGCAAAAAAAAAAAAAAAAGTTATCTCCAAATAAAATCATAATAATTTATAAAAATCAGTCAAGGTACTGCAAAGTTACCTTGGAGTGGTCAGACCTCAGTGGGCACATTTTGATTATACTGGATTTACTTACAATGAAGTGAAAGTCAACAGGGAGAGTAATGAGGCACTGTAATGCTTTACCTTTCTTGTCTTTTATAATAATTTAGTTCAAGCAGGCTTTGGGAAAATCACACTTTTATTTCAAGATCCAAAAAATCAATATAGCAGTATACATTTAGTGCTTGAGGGAAAATTTACTCAAAATTGTTTCATAATGAAAATGCCGAAGGCAGATGCTTTTGTTCAATCTGTTACTTTGAAGGGACCTTGTAATCTTAATTCCAAGTTAAAGACTTATGGCCGTTGTATCAAACAAAGGCAGAGCAAGTACCTCTTCAAGTGAGGAAATGTTAGGGATGTGTGTATAGTAATTCAATTAAAAACAAAATAAAATAAACCAAACAGTATTAGCACACTTTAGCATAGGAAATCATAAATACTTTGGACTAACTGCTGGCTGTACAATACATAAAATACTTTCACTAATTTATCTACAAGCTTTATCTGCTCTTCTTTGCTTAACTAGTGCCTTTCCATCTGGCCATACAAGGTCATGGAGCATCTCAGCCAGCAATGCTCTAGCTTCCAAAAATTTGGGGGAATAATCAGTGGAAAACAGATCAAGCTGATCTATGGAAAAAAACTGTGCACAGATAAATCAACATTTCCTTTTAATTATTGTAATGGCATGTATAAAACTGAATTTCTTCAGATATTTAGGAGGTAGCAGAAACTTGTGCTGAAATAATATATTCAAGTAAGGATCTTAGACCTTGTTCCCCAGTTCATGTCATGACAGTGGTGGGTCAGAATCGTAGTAAGCTACGATATGATGTTCTCATTGCTGCCCTGTGCCTCCCATGGCAGCCCCAGATGATCAGGTCTCTCACCAACTACTTTTTCCCAAAGCAGGAGAGAAGCTCAAGCACTATGCAGCAGTCAGAGTGTATTTACCTCTTCCTTTGACACTTGGCCAGAGCTGGAGGGCAGAAAGGAGAGGACATGCTCATGTAGCACATGCTGTCATTACAGGTACGGTGTCCTTTCATTTTTCCCAGTTTGTATCTGGACTGCATCTGCCCTTGCTAAAGTTGAATTTTCATCTACTGTACCATAAAACCATGGGAAAATTTATAACAATGGTTATATAAATTTCACATTATGAAAATAAATTTATAAACCTAACATCATTTCTTTTCATATAGTGCAGTAGAAGCTATGAGTACGCTCAGTGATGCTGCTGAGACACTAAGGTGAGCTCTAAGATCCTGCCTGAACAGCAGAACAAAAATCCTCAGTTAACAGGGATGAACAGCAATGCACAGAAAAGTGAAAAATCCTAGTACCAATATATCAGTGCTTTTTTTTGTCTAAGTGTGAAGTGACCAGTTGTTACAGGAATATTTCCGTTAATATTTCAAAAGACTTTTTTGCCAAGTGTAAAAAAATATGAGACATCTTAAATCATTACAAGAGTAAAAAGAACTTAGAATCATAGAATGGTTTGGGTTGGAAGGGATTCCAAGGATCATCAAGTTCCAACCCCTCCTGCCACAGGCAGGGCCACCAACCTCCAGATCTGGTCTAGTATCACGCAGTGTAGTTAGTTTTGGCTGTCTGGCAAAGCCTGGGGAGAGGTAAGGTCCTGCGAGATGAAAGAGCTACCAGAGAGTCATTGTTTTAAAACACTTTGAACAAAGTCAGAAATCTACTAGGCTGGGCTGGGCTGGCCAGGCAGAAGAGCTGCATTTGTTGACTCACAGCAGTGTGCTCAGAACAGGCAGTACCTCGTCACTGCTGACATTTACTGATGTTGCTGTACTGTTGTTGTTAGGCAAACGCGCTGGGACACAAGGGACCCTCATGGTTCCTCCTTTCCTGGGAGACCCAAATGTGCTCCTGAGCAGAGGGTGCAGTGGGCAGAAGAGAAGTGCAGCTCTGCAAACTGGAGCTGGAAGGAGATACACAACTGAGTCCCAGTGGCGAGGGAAAGGGAATCTTCCTAGGGATCCTCAGGGACTGTCTGCAGCTTGATTCAGAGAGACCCTGCCTGGACTCAGAGCAAGACTGCAGAATGGCTGTTCCTCCTCCATTAGCTCTTCAAGGACACAACAGACTGGGGCATACTTATGTTCAAATCTTTGTTTTGTCTCCTTCTGCAGATTATAATTTTCCCTATTTAAGAAGTACGTCATTATTCTCATGTACACCCAAACTGCTGTGGCAATTTTGAAGACACCAAAAATGCAAAATCAGGCCTTCAGTGTGAGAGAGAACATTCTTTACCATGCAGGCGAACCAGTAGTGGGAGGTACGTAACAGTAAAGGTCATTTTAATCTTATTATAGAGGAAAATGCTCTAAACAAGTCACTGAGATATTAAGGCCTACCATCGCATTATCTCAGTTACAGAGTGAAAAGCAGCAGAAAGAAAAAAATCAGAATTATCTGTTTGCTATAAGGCTGGTCTTGCACCCAGTCTGTTCTCAGTATAATTTCTATGGTTGGCTTTTCAACTGGCTGCCTGTACAACTACCTTGCAAATGAGTTTAATTTGTGCATATAGTGGGAGTTTCATTCTGTTGTGTCATGAGACAGAAAAACAGCATGTTTTAGGTAACAAACAGTATAAAGTAATTTTTCTTTTTCCCTAAGGAATGAAGAAATAGTCTTATTTTCCCTGAGATTTAATACGGTACAGGTAACTCTTTTAACTCTTGCAGTTGTTTTGGGAAAGAGAGTAAAGTAACTAAGGGTAAGAGATGAGGGAAATAAGATAAACTGGAGTAAGAGACCTAGAAAACCTGTTTTAGAAAGTAGATACAAGAAGGCAGGAAACCTTTTCTCTAAGGAGGACAAGAGGTACCAGAAGCCATTCATTACATGTTTTGGAAGTATAGGGAAACTGCTAGGTTGGGGCTTGAACTTATGATGAAGGACCTGGTGAAGGGCTGTGGCTGGGCATGGGCAAATTGCATGCACCTGTGCTCCCTGCTTGACCAGAAGCGGTGGACCCAAGGTGGAGCCACCCTGGGCTCCAATAAAGGCCAGCCACTGGAGAGAGCACATCTCTCAGACCCAAACTGCTTCCTGAGAAAAAGGGCTGTACTGCCAGGAATCCCCTTCACCAGCTGGGTGAGTTCTATCCTTTTTGTATATGACTGTTGGTCTGCCTGCAAGTAGTTTGCCTGGTATCACCAAGAACGTGTCAGAAGCAATTTTGGTTCTTTGTGAGAACAGGAAAACTGTCGTGAGGGCTTCCTTTTTTTCCCCCTCCTATATTTCTGTCAGAAGAAAAGGAGGCAGAGAGCTTCCTTGTCTCCTCTCTGCCTAAGTTTACACAGAAAGGATCCCTTCTAGGGACTCACAACAATGCAATATTTTACTTTAGTTCATGTTAAAGATCTTCTTCAGTGTTTACATCAACAGAAGGAAGTTCCTTGCAACTGAACAGCCTATCAATAATAATGTCTAAAATTGGCCTGGCTCTGTTTATCTGAACCAAGAATAAATATTTGTTTCTTGTCAAATGGGAAGTCCATGGAAGGAACTTCATTGTATATTTTGTAGTATGGGTCTGTGACCCTTGGGCAAAAAACCATAAAGCACTGGAGGATGACTACTTGACTTTTCCAATTTTCTTATTATACACACTCCTCTCCAGACTTTCTGCAATCAATCTTTCCCTTTGATTGCTCTGCAGCTTTCAGACTCCACTTCAAAGCCAGCTATGCAGGAATAGCTGTGTTTTTCTCCTCCAACCTAGTGGTCAATTTCGCCAACTGAAGAAGGCTTTTAATTATGTACATTTCTTAATAAGAGTGTACGAATCTGTTAAATATGAACTTCAGGCTCTGTAAAATATTTTGTGAACCTCTGTACAAGTCTGCAACCTACCTATTTCTCGACTTCTGAAACGTTAAAAATTGCTGGTCAGTAATCGGGTGAAGAGCTGTGACATCCTTGAACCCACTGCTGCAATATTCAGCTTTCCATTTGTTTCTTGTGAATGGAAAAACACAACTATATACATACCAAACGTGTAACATTGAATGTTCACGCGTCCGAATAGTTGAGAAGTTTAACTGATTAACTGCGTACTCGGGTTGTGCGTCAGCAGGAGCGGAGTTCGGAGCACCGAACTGAGTTGGCTGAGCGCGGCGCGCCGCATAGGAGCGGCTGTAAATCCCTTGGTTTTAAACACGCCCCTCGTGCCGATGGTCTGGGCGCCCCGCGGCCACGTCGAGCACTGAGGGAAGCCAGGCGGGGCACGAGCGGCGCCCGGCTACCGGAGACCGCGTGCCGCCTGCTTTTAAAAAAGATCACGTCCTGTTTGTTTTTGTAGTTTCCGCCGCTTCGCATCGCCTCGCGCCGCTCAGCTCCCGCCTTCTCGCCCCTCGGAGGAGCCGCCCCGCCCCGCGCCTCCTCGGCGGCCCGCCCGGCTCCGCCGTCACGTGACAGCCGAAGTCCGGCGAGGCAACATGGCTGCGGCGGCGGGGTAAGCGTCGCTGCTCGGCCGCGGGCGCCGCCCGGCACCGTGAGGGGCGGCGCGGAACAGCTGCGCCGTGCCCGGGCTGGATGGGCCCGCGGGATTCGGGGTTCTTCGCCGGGCGGCTCAGGCGGGGCCGGCTCCCGCGCCGAGCTGTGGGAGGCCGGGCCCCGCGCGCTGAAGGCGAGCCGCTCCCTGGCGCAACCGCGGCGGGAGTGCTGTGCAGGGCTGCGCGGAGCGGGCGGGCGCCTGGCTGAGGCGGGCGGCGGAGCTGCCGCGGGAAGGCGGCGCTGCGGGTTGCCCAGCGGGGGGCTGCTCTTCGTGCGGGTGAACTCGGCTGGCTTGTCAGCGTTTTGAGACCGTTCCATTAGAGACATCCCAGAACGGGGGGGGACTTCTCGTGGTCTCCAGAGGTCCCCGGGGACTGAACTCTTAATTTTGCTGCCCGTTTGTTGCGGGAGCGGCATAAAAACTTGCTGGAGCTCAGGCTGCTGTTCATGGTTGTGTCTTTTGCTCGAGGCAAACAAATAAGGCCCAGTTAAATAAATGTCAACTGCTGGAAAAGTAGTGGTTTCTTACCTGCACTGAGAACTGGATCCTGTCTTTGTGATCTCAGTAGAACAAATGTGGCAGGCCCTGGGTTTTCTTTTGAACAGGGAGAGAGGATGGAATTCCTGGTTATCAGAGTGTTGTGGTTGTCACATCAAAGCAGAACCAAACGTCGAATGGATCATACAATAACGAAACAGAATTCCTCTGAAAATAATGATAATAAAACCCTTCTGGAATAAGCTAAAGCCAACAGTTCCAAGCAAAAAAAGAAGTGTCCTTTAAAGAAGCAGATGTACTTTAATGTTTTCAGCTGCTTATTACTTCCAGTATAATAAAATAAAGGAGGTCTTAGATGGTCTTTTGACTAAGTGATCATAAAATGGTGTGTGGCAGGCAGCAGGGCAGCTGCTGTGTGAGGCTTTTACTGGACTGAGGAATGGTTCTGGGGCAGGCTGGTAAAAAATGAGGGAGCTGAGCTTGAGGCGCAAGGAGCCCTGACTGTTGTGTAGTTACAGAAGCTTGCGCAGGTTCAAAGATGCATGTTCCCCAAAGCAGTGCTTACATTAAATACACTGCATTCCTAATTGTCCAGCATGTGGCTCTGCATCACAGCTGGGAGATGAATTTGTGGCAGTAGGCCCCAGGGCGCCTGTGTCAGTAGAAGAATCGGCCCTTGGGGGAGCAGCCAGGAATTGTGCTAGTTATAGTGGTGTTTGTGTCTTGTGTGATGCAAGTGAGTGACTGGTCAGAGATCACAAACCAGAACAGAATGCTTGTATCCTCGTAGGGAAGGAACTTTTACATTGTATAGTTAGGTGGCAAATTTGCAGTTTTATGTTGATGTAATTGTACCTGTATTTGATACATGTGTGAGGCAGTTATATATTGGTACACCCAGCTTACTGTGCGTGGTCAGTCCAGAGCATTAACTGATGTATGAACAGAGAACCCAGGGAGCTGACTGTGATTTGCAAGGAAGCCCAGCCCTACCACTTCCTGCAGATGTGGCCATAGGGTCTGGCACATGAAGCTGTTCTCAATTTTAACATAGAGACCAAGACTATGCCTGGAAAAAATGTGCAAATCTTAACCAACTGAATAGAATCAAATGATTAAGATTGTGGCATGAAATTCAAGCAGGGAGAGTAGCATCTGTTATATGTAGGAGGAAGAAGAGTTTTACAATGGGATTAACTAAAAATTGCAGATAAGTCATTTTAAATTATGATGCCTTTCAACTTGAGTGTTAAGATACAATAAAAGGCACTCCTGAAGTGGTTCATGGAGATTACCAGTGAGAAGTCTTGCCTGAGTTGTTATTTCTCCTTCGGTCTCCTTTTGCTTTTCAAAAGTTTTAAGTGCAGTAAAAGAATTACCAGTAAAGGTTGTGCTAAAACCTCTATGTTTTTGGTTTTATTTTCTTATTAGCATACCAAGATTTGAGAGTGAGCTGTGGCATAAGGGTATCTGATTGTTCTCTCTTTCCTTTTATATGTGCAATAATGTGAGCATGAAGATAGTCAAGGGATGATCTTGGTTTTCAGCTTCTTCAGTAATGCCAAGTTACTGAGCCACTGCTTTGCACCTGACAAGTCTTGCTCTTAACTTATTGAAGGTTTGGTATCTGATTTAAAACTTTCAGTACCGTTTGCTAGAGTTGTTTGAACTTGCTATGTTTTGCTAGAGGCTGGGATACTCCAACACAAAAGCTTATGCTGTGCTTCCACACTATGATAGTGTTCTGCAACAGGTACTCTGTAGCCCTTGGAATTATTGCTGCTGTACTGCTGGGTTATCAAGGGTGTGTGGGAAGTAATACAGATAAATGCTTCGGTTTTGTGCACCATCAGCTGCAGTCCTGGGCAGATCATATGAAAACTGGATTAGTAGGAGCAATCTTTCACCTTCTAAAATGACTTGCACTGTTAAGTCAAGTAGTTATAAACAAGTAAAATATTTTATTAGCTCTTTTATGCTGTGTGTGCAGTGCAAAATTACAGGGTTTACTTTTCTGATGCTGATAATGCCTTTCAGGAGGTTATTTTATGCAGCTATAAATGAAAGGTTACTTTCCAGATTGCCTGTGAAAACTATGTCATAATTAAGGTGTGGAGCTCTGCTTCTCCAAGGTTGAGCCCATTGGTGGTTTGCTCCTGTCATTTTAGCACAGTAACAGTTTAATTGTAGCTTTCTGTCATCTCAGCTGGAAGTATATCTGATTTGAAAAGAAGAGAAAGACTCATCAGCCATTCAGAAAAATAGCT